AGAAAGCCCCCCCGGTGGGGCGGAGGGCCCCGGCAGCCTCGGGATTGTACCCAGTGCTGCTGTCTTTCTCCGCCGGAGTCCGAGCACGCCATGGCCCAGCTCCTGCGCCTGCCGCTGCTCCTGCTGGCCGGCCTGGCCGTGACACGGGACATGGCCTCTAGCAACCGGATGATGCTGACCCCCAGGAGAAGGGCGTCCAGCGCGCTCTGGCCTACGCCATCAGCGAGTACAACAAGGCGAGCAACGACGCGTTCCACAGCCGCGCCCTGCGCGTGGTGCGCGCCCGCAAGCAGGTGGGTGCCAGCGCCCGTGGGTCCCCCGGGGCAGGCACGCGCCCACGGCCCAGCCCCGCCCGTGCTCTGCCTCTTTCTGCGCCCCCTCCTCTCGCTCCTTGAGTCGCATCCCTGTTCTGGAGGCCTTTTGAATCCGCTGGGACACGGACACTCCTGTGCTTTCCGCCCAGGCGGTGGCCCGGGTCTTCCCTGTCGCCCCGCAGCCCTTTCCGGGTGTGTCCCGGGACGAGCCCTGTCTCTGACTCAGCCTGAGCTGGCCTGACACTCTTAAGTGGACGCCTGGCACCTTGGTTCTCTTTCCAGATGCCAACTGGCTGTCAGTGTCGCTGCGCCAGACCCAGGGACTGTCCCGCTTAGCCTCTACCCCACCCTGCGGGGCATGGGCGCTTAGTGTGGAAGGCTAGCTAATTAGGAGAACACCGGAAAGGAAAATGGCCCCCTCCCTCCACATATGGTTGCCCTCCTGACTCCCACTAAATGATTTTTTTAAGCGCATTTCCCTTTTACGTTTTTATTCTGACTACAGAGCAGTCAGAAATAGTGCACAGCATCCCTGGGGCTCCGGACACCTGAATGTTCCTATTTTGCCATGTTGGTTTTTTCCACCTTGCTCAGTATGCACATATGCATATGTAACATAGATAAATATATGCATTTATTTTTCTGAACTTTTCAAGAGTCAACACGTCAGTGTGCATGTCCTAAAAACAAGCACACTCTCTTCCATAGCCCCGTTTCAGGTTCGAAAGTCAGGAATCAACACCGGCACAGTCAGCCTCCAGTGAGTGGCTTGTTCATGTTTTGCTAGTTGCCCCAGTGGCTTTTGTCCTCCTGGGTCATAGTTGCAGTCACTGCCCTGTCTCCTTTGGCTGCCGTGGTAGACTTGCTCAATCTGGGCTGACCTGATGTTGGGTCCAGATTAGATACAGGTGGTGAGCTTGTCTTCACTGAGCTCAGCCTCCACCTGCAGGGCACACCCCTTCAGGCAGTCCTGGGGCTGTATCCCCACCCTGAGACAGCACACCAGCACCAGCAGCAGTTCTGGGTGGTTAAAAAGCCGCTGGGTTACAGAGGACCACCCCAAGCCTGCCTCTGCCACCCCTCCACCCAGATAAGCAGGGCAGTCCTCATAGGAGTGGAGGGGGGTGTCAGAAGGGAGCATCGGCAAGGGATCCCCACCCTAGAGCTTGTCCTTGAAGGAAGGCTCCAGTTTAGTCCCATTGCAGAGCAGTACAGCCACACATGTGTGCATGTGTACATGTAAACAGCAGTACAGCCATGCATGTGTCCATGTTACAGCAGCACAGCCACACATGTGTACATGTGTTCAGAGCTGGTTCCACACCTCTTGAAAGTTTGTCAAGGCCGGCTGCATTTCTCCTGCAGCATTCAGCCAGTACCTGGGTGCCAAGGCCTGGCCAGCCTACACATTTACCTCCGGGGAAAGCATGGGGCGTTAGAGATCATTGGGCACAAATGGGAGCGCTGATTCCAGGGGACTCTTGGAGACTTGCCAGTGGTTCCTCAGAGTGTGTCTGGACCCCGCCCCCCTCCTGTGTTTCCCCACAGTTCTGAAAGGTCCTGTCTGTGGGAATCCCTGTGCAGGGCAGAAGTTAGATTCCATTCTGTGGTCACAAGCAGAAGACATGCAGGTCCCATCCAAAGTCACACTCATTAGCGTCAGACGTCCGCGTGTGAAGTGTCCGTTGCCTGCTGCCGAGTGAGGAATAAACGGCCACGGTGGAAACAAGCTGGGACGCTGTGGGGGCGTGTGCTGGTAACGAAGTGGGCTTCCTGGACCAGGCCTGGCCCCGGCGTCCGGAGCCCAATCAGCAGAGCGCCCCTGACCCTGTGCTGGGCACAGAGCCTTCACTCTGCTCAGACTTCGCCCTCTGCTCCATGCCTTCAGGAGCAGACTCCAATTAGCTGATTTAGTCCCTGGCTCCAATGTTGTTTTCCTGGTCTCCTCCTACATAGCTGCAGGGGACCTGCTGCTGGGGCTTTTGAAAGAGCTCAGGTTACAAGCCAGCCTGCTGCACAGCACCCTGCCACAGGAACGTGACAGTTTTGGCAGCTCTGGAATGTAAGCACAGAGCACGAGGCAAACACAGTGACTCAGTAATGGCTGAGTGACCACACATTGAACCTGACGGGTCTGTTTTCTCACATGTGCATAGGTCGTGGCTGGGATGAACTACCTCTTGGACGTGGAGCTAGGCCGGACCACGTGTACCAAGGCTCAGCCCTACCTGGCCGACTGTCCCTTCCATGACCAGCCGCACCTGAAGGTTTGTGGTCACGCGGGCCAGGCGGCAACTGTGCACAAGGCCCAGCCCTGTGTGTGCAGCATGTGTGCATATGCACAGGAGGGTGTGCATGCACATGCAGGGTGCATGTGTGTGCAGGTGCATGCGTGTGTAGGATTCATAACCAAGGCTGTGGTGGTGTGTGAGTTTATGTGGATCCTGTGTGTGTATGCAGGGAGGGGGTGTGTGAGCACATGGCAATTGGGGTCTCGGGAGGGTGACCTGGGTTTGGGGTGCTGCCTGCTGGATTGAAAGAAGCAGCTGCAGAAGTGGTTACTGGAGACAGAAAAAAGTCTCTTTTTAATCCCAGCCTGGGCCACCTGCCCACCCCAACAGCCAGGCTGCAGATTAGAGGGAATTAGAGGCCCACAGGCAGCCAGACCCTCCGATGTGGCACCTGCTTTCCCAGTACCAGCCCCTTTGTGAGCATGCCTGGTTCTTGTGAGCTCTCCCCTCTGGGAATAGCTGCCCTCCCCTGCTACCCCCTTACCCCTCCTTGCACCCCAGTCTGAGCTGCCTGGAAGAGTAGAGCATCTAGCTTCTATGACTTGCTGTGAGAGAGTGAGGGGCCAAGAAGCTCAGAGAGAAACTGCTTCTGGAGGCCTTCACTTTGGGGGGGTCAATTTCTGAACCCCAACAGTGAGCTTTCAGGGGGTTTCAAGCACCTGTGCTCTTCTCCCCAGAGCTCTCAGAGCCGGCCTAGGCGCTGGAGCTGGAGGGGGCTCCTGTGGCCTCACACAGACTGCCCTCTATGGGGCTGTGCTGGGCAGGACAGCCTGCAACCCAGGAGGCCAGGGTCAGGGCCACAGAGCCATCCGTGAGCCTGAAGTGGTGGGAGAGCCCCGCTGTCCCCACCCCTCAGATACGTCCTGGTGGGGCATCTCATAACTGGAGCCCACACTGATTGCTCCTCTCTTCCCTTTTGCAGAAAGTGCTCTGCTCCTTCCAGATCTACTCCATCCCCTGGATGAACAAAATCTCTCTGACCCACTCCAACTGCGAGAGTGCCTAGAGGTCTGCGCCAGACCCTGCCGACTGCCTCCCACTTCTGTCCTGATAGTACCTCAACCCCTGACTTGGTGGCCCTGGCCCTGGTGGCCGTCTCGGTGTGCCAGCATTGGGAGACACAGAGAAGGTCTCGCAGGGCCCTTTGGGGAGCTGAGTGGCTCCAGCCCTCGTCCTGTGGTTGCTTCAGTAGGCCAGCACGTGGTGCGCGTACTGCTCCTCCTTACTCAATAAACGGTTGTCAGCTCCCTCTCAAGTTGTCTGCTGTCCTGGGGTGGGGCATGGGAGGGTCTCCGCGATCCCTCACCAAGAGCTCCCTGCCCTGCGGTTCTGGAGAGCCCATGTGGCTCAGCGTGCACACACACGCGAGGAGCGTTTCTGAGCAGGTGACGCCTGAGAACCGAGGGCCCGGCCACGGGGCACCAGTGGACAGATGAAGGAGAGGAGGGGCCCTGGCTGCAGGCCTGTGTCTGCAGATGTGGTCAGTGTGAGACTGACTTCACTGGCCACATTCTCTAGAGTCGGTCTTAAGCTATATGTCTCTTCTTTTCCCAAGAGACTTTTGTACCTACATGGGACAGAAACACGTATGTGTAGAAGAGCTGGCTGGGGAAGCTCCAACCAGAGTCAAGGATGGGCACATGATGAAAACAGCACTTCCTCCGAGGCAAAAAAGGGCGGGGTCGTGCCCTGCCAAGTATAGGGGTGCTGGCATGGCTAGGGATGCATGTCCTTCTCCTGAGGGGTTCCCAAGTCACCACCAATAACAGGGTTACCAATAAAAGGAAAGGCATGCCCATTTATTTCATCCTAGTTTTCCATGACGTGGAAACGTTCAGATTGAATATCCAAAGCACAGGGGACGCCTCTGGTGTATGCTTCACTTCAACCAAGGCAGCCCTGTAGGAAGGCGATTGGATGGACAGGTGCAAGCAGGTGGGGAGACCCCGCAAGACGTCCACAGGGCGTTCTCAGCCTGTGTGCAGCCCGCCTGCCTCCCAAGCGTGGGGCAGGACCCTCCAGAGTGAGGGCATGTGCTCTAGTACTGGTCAGGGGATGGCAGGGAATTTGTTCCTGGCCAACTCATACTCAGAAAGGGGGGAGAAATTAGAGCAGTATTTTTAGGTTTTATGGTTGGCTTTGGAAAAGAGGCTCTGGTTCCTATGAACTGCCTTGAAGAATAGAGTCTGGATGCTACGGCTTGCCTCAGGAGAGAATAAGGGGCCCAAGCCTGGGCAGGAGGAGCTCAGGGAAGCTGCTGCCGAGGCTGCCTGGCAGCCTCCTCATGGGAGTGTCAGTTTCCCAGCTCCAACAGAGACCTTCCCAGATCACTCAGCAGCCCTTTCTCCGGACTCATTTAAACAGGTCCTCCCACAGAGCAGTGTGGGAGGGTGGGAGGGTTTGAAACAGCTGGAACTGACACCCTAGTCCAGGAAGGATGTTCTCATTAATAAAGGAGATCACCTTAGCGTCTCCGCTCACGGAGGTGTGGGAACATCGGTGCCTCTGAACGGGAAGGCTGCAGGCTATTCCCGCACTCTTGGGGCAGAAGGGTGGGGCCCTCACGGTGGGGGTGGTGTTTCCAAATACCTTCAGCACCCTGCAGCATCTGGCAAAGCCCAAGGCAGGAACAGCCAGAGAGGGAGGAAACCTTCCACAGTTTCGTCCCTGCCCTGCCAGACACAGCCTTCTCAGCAGGCCTGACAGGTCTGGGAAGAGGCCGGGAAGCACCACCCAGGACACCACGAGTCCAGGGGCCCGAGGCTGGAGCCCTGCCATCCTGGAGTTACTGTGGGGACTCCCTGAGACACTCCTGTGGAGGGGAGGGCAGAGGTGTGGTCTGAGGGCTGGGTTCCCTACAGGATGGTGCACATGCTTTTTCTTCTAGAGAGATTTTTGCTATAGGGCTCATGCGCTCGCCAGGGAGAGACCCAGAGAGGCAGACAGACATCTCCAGAGGGAATGGCCACCCTGCAATTCCTTCTCCATTTTCCTACTGGGATCTTAGGCACGCACGCCCATGTGCCCCGCCCCACATAAGTTTCAAGCCTACAGGTCTGGGATTCGTACCACAGTACACATGGGAGTCCGGCCACATAACCATTGCACCATCTGCTGGTCCCGTGTGCATGGTTTTCTACCTGGATGAAAGATCTCTGACACAAACCACAGCCATCCAGGCCCACGCGGGACCACTGGCAGTGGAAACCCTCCCTTCCTCGGGGAGGTCGGGGGGCCGCTATGCCCTCATATCTCTTACCTGTGGGTCAGTCCTCTCCCCTCCCTCTGCCCAGTGGTCTCATGACCCCCCAGCTCACAGGGAAGCAGTCTGGTGCCACCTTGGAACTGGTGGGCCTGCACATGCCAGCAGCCGGGGACCCACAAGAAGCCTGTGAGTCAGAAGCCTCTGTGACTCCAGTGTCACTGCCACCAGCATGTCCTAGCAAAGCCTCGCCCCTACATTTATTTATTTTATTTATTTATTATTTATTTAAAGGGTTTTAAAAATTTTTTTATTATTCCTTCTACGGAAGAAAGAGAAAAGGAGAGAGAGAGAGACAGGCACCCCAGCAGGGTTTTTATGCCACGATCCACCCCAGCCTCAGCCAGCCTGGATCCTGCCCAGGGGAGGCCCCACATAGGTCCTGCTTCTTGGAGCATTGCGTGCCACCAGCTGGACCCCATACATGTACCTTCAGTGTTCAGAGTAACATATGTTACATAAGTTAGCTACATAAATAATAAATACGATGCCCGGTTTTGATAAGCACTCAATGCATTTTGGGTATTTCTTTATCAATCTTATTAGATACTGTGGTGGCTTTAAACAAGGCTCCCAGATACTTTGGCCAGAGAATCAGTCCAGTTGGCAGACCCCAGCTGGGTTCCCTGCCAAAGCCAGTGTCACCTGCCAGCCAGGTGAGTAGGTCACCTCGGATGCCCCATCTTCTGTGTGCTGTCAGGTCATTATAGCAAAGCCAACAGCCAGCTGCTGCCGTGGGGAGACCCTGAGCAGGAAGTGCCCGGTGTGCTGGTCCCGGGCTCCTGACCCACAAAACAGTGAGCAGGACGGACATTTCCTGACCACAGATCTTGGCGTGGAGGGTGTGTTACATGGGCATGTTGTGTGTGTGCACATGTGTGTGTGTGCAGTGTGAGTATGTGTGTATGAGTATGCATGTGTGTGTGCATGTGTGTGTTCTATGAGTATGTGTGTGAGTGTGTGCGCACTATGAGTGTGTGTGTGTGTGAATGTGCATGCTATGAGTGTGTGAGTGTGTGTGTGTGTGTGTGTATGGCAGGATCCAGCTCACCTGCGAATGACTTCTAGTCGTGTGACCTGGGCCAGCTCCGTGCACTCCTGGAGCCTCATTTGTCCCATCTGAGACAGAGACTGCCCCTCCCTCTTGGGAAGAAGAGGACTGACTGCCAACGTCTGCCAGACACAGGACACAGCACCAGGGCTGCCGTAGGTGCTCGTACTTGACCCTGACTGGCCCCTCACACAAGGCGTGCGGCCTGGAGCACCATGCGCACTCCACAAGCAAGCGGGCCGCAGCTCCTGTGAGCTCGCAGTGTTGTCCTTCCCCTCATCCAGTTCCTGGCTCAAGGGTCAGCCCTTCGCTGTGTTCCTGAAGCGGCTTAGAATCAGCTTCCGTCAGAGCAGATGGAAGACATCTGGTTCTCTGCCGCCTTTAGGGTTCCTTCTTCTCCCGACACAGGCCGTGGAAACCAGCCCTTGGGTGTCACAGAGACTGTCCCCCACAGTCAGCCCCAGGACCCTCCTTCCAAAGGGCTCCTGCCCCTAGCAGGAGGAGGGACACTGCCGGGGCGGAGAGGAACGTGCAGGCAGACCTTGCCCAGCCCCTGCTGTTCCATGCTCGCACCCGCGTGTCCACCCTCCGCCTTGCCTATGCCATGAAGACGCTGTAAAAACCCACACGTGGGGAGGTTCCCGGGCGGTGGCGTGCCCAGCGAGGGCGTGGACGCTCTGCGTCTCCCTCCTGTCCCTCGCGCAGGCGTCTCCTCATCGGAACCCTCGCTGATACCCGCTGTAACAACCTGGTGCACGCGCTCCCCGAGTTCCACAGTCAGAGCAGAGGCGGTGGGGACGTGGGAACCCCGACAAGCAGCCAGCGGTCAGCACAGTAAGGCAGCCCGGCTAGAGTGGCGTGGGCAGCGGTGGAGGCTGGGTCACACAGTCCTGCGGTGGGCTTCAGCCTGTGGGATGTGACTCCGTCTTCAGGAACGCTGGTGGGGACAGAGGCAGAGGGCGCCCCCTGATGTCTGCTGCAGAGCGCGTGGCCACTTGCTGGGGGCAGAAATCCACAGGACTCCAGATCCAGGAGGTGATCCTTGTGTAGGAGGAGAAATGGAGCTTCTCTTTTCCTGCTCATTTGTCCACTTAAAATAATAGTAAAAAAGTTGGTTACATGAGTACAGACTATTCCAGTCAAAATGGTAGTAGCGTTTTTATGCAGTATCTTATGACTCTAACTTCATTTTTTTTTCAGGTGATTTATTAGTATCTATTTTTCTATGAAATTCCCAAAATCTCTTTCAAAAAACCATCTGGAGCCTATAGCAAATCCCCTTAGCTCTCTAAGATCATATTCTGCATCTCAGTCCTAAATTTAGCTGGTTCTTTCCTTTTTTCTTTTCTTTTTCTTTTTCTTTTTTTTTTTTTTTTGGCCAACTATCCCATTTTAAGTATGCTCTTATATCTTCTAGTTAGAGGCCACTCCCCTTATTCTTTTATCACTTACATTTTGTTTTCTAAATGTATTTTTATTTATTTCAGGTTCGAACAGAAGAATGGTGTTTTGAACCATGACTACATTACATTTATCTTTCAATTTTGGGAAAAAATGAACATTGAATATTTAAATTTTTCACTTAAAAATAGAATAGTCCCCCTTTATCCCAGAGGAGGGGATGTTCCAAGATCCCCAGAGGGTGCCTGACACAGTGGACAGTCCAAACCTCGTATATATTACACTTATCTGCATACTTCCCTATACATACTTCCCTAGGGGAGGTTTTAGTTTACACAGTCGGCACGGTACGAGGGGAATGACAGTAACTAGTCATACAATACAGTGACTGGGGTAAAATGCAGCATCACTACTCCTGCACCTTGAGCCGTTACCAAGTAAAATAAGGGTTACCTGAGCACAAGCACCAGGCTCCCAGGACAGTCAACTGGACAAACAAGATGACCACTGAGGGGCTGGGGGCAGGTGGTTATGCAGTGTG